CCATGGCATGAACCCCAGAGACCATAGGGTTTCGGTTCTATTACATAATTTTACTTTTAATTTTTGTATCGACTCGAATTGCATATTTTGGAGCTAATTTAAGGCTAACCCACCATGTCAGTGAGAGTACCCAATTGATTTGATTATTAGGGTTTCAGTCTGTCTGTACAAATATCCTTCCTTCTAATCATTGCTTTTATGTTGTGCAACTTCTTCTTTAACCCATTGTCGAGTTTTTCTTTTTCATTCCTAACCATTCATTTTTTTCAAGATTTAAATAACGGTCACAGTTCGATATTTTACGAGTTTAATTTTTGTTATTATTTATTGATGTTTATCATGAAATTTATGTTTACCTAAAGAAAACGAAGCTTACATGAGATGCACTAAAATTGCGTTATGGGATAAAATAATTGTGTTCGTAGGGTGTGCGTGCATTATCAATAACTAAAAAATATTTAAATTTTAACAATAGCTAAGGTGATTACAATGTTTTTAAAAGAAATCTATAAAATATTTTTTAGTAGTATAAAATGATTACAATATAATATATGTTCATAAACTTTCTTAATAGAAAATAAAGTACACACACCTTATAGACACAGTTGAATAGTCGATGATTCCATAAACCTCTCAACGAGTCCAATATACAAATCCCACGGACTCATTGAGGGTACACAATCCTCAATACAAATGGTATTATTGGAAAATAAAACCCTAAATGGTATTAGAAGAAAATGATGCAAACGGGGAGAGAGAGAGTGAAAGAGCACAAATGGAAGTGGAAAAACAAGTTAAGGATATGTGTAGGTAAATTGGCCACAAATGGAATCCATTGATAAGGTGGGGATTTTGTACTATGAAAGTCTCTGCAAACTGATTCATCTCTGCAAATTTTGCCTATGCTTGATTTTGTCTGCTACATTGTTTTAATGGCCAAAAAACAAAAAAAAAACCCTAATCTCTTTAATGCCAATAGCTACATGTAGAGTACTGGAGGGCATTTTTCTGTGCCTGGCTGAACCCTAAAGGATGGTCGTGGTTTAATTTTAGGGTACCCCAAAGATGTAAGATTCCATTAATCGATATTTACATTAAACCACGTATCGAATCGATTAAAATTTTGATCAAGATTCAAATCAAACTTTCTCTTGACATTATTAATATCATTTTTTAAATAGTCAAAAGTGATTACAAATTAATATTTATTCAGAATCTTTCTTAATAATTGATAATATACACTCACCATGCAGATGTAACTGTTTGAACTTAAGACCTCTGGAGAGATCAACGCTCTCTTTAACCATTGAAGCTATTTGATAAGTTTCCGATCACTTATTAACATCAAATATCAAGATTTAAATCAAATTTTATCTCTATATGTAATTCAATTACGTAGAAAAAAAATCTGAATGATAATAAACTAAAAAATATAGGTAGATGTATGCATTTACTTTATATATATTTACAAGATGCTCTAAGGGACCCTACCTTTTGATAAGTTCTCCTACAATGAGGGTATGAATAAAGGTCAAAAAGAGAAGTGGAAAAGGAGTCCCCCCACCAACTATGAACCATTCATGGTGGCCATGGATAACGATCCCATATGTCAACCACCAATCCATCATGTATTGATATTCAGTCAATTTTTTAACTCTTTTAGCTACTCACTTTACACTTCAGAATATTTAAAATTGCATTCCATATTTGAGAGTATTTAAAAGAATATTAGACTTGAAAAAAATGAGTTTAGAGAAAAAAAAAGGTTAAACTTATTAAAGGTATAGGTCAAATTTGAACTCCAACACCCAAAATTTGACCCAACTATATTTTAATTTAATAATATATTTTCTTTTATCATTTATATTATATAATTTATATCATATGAAAATTAAATAAATAATACTTGTTTATACATTTAGTGTTGCCCATGGCAGTGATCACCCCTGAGGGCGAAGCAAAAAAATATATTAAAATTAAAATTATGGTGTCAGAATTTAGGAAATTATTTAAAAGAATTTTTTTTATGTGGGTAGGAACAAATTATGGGTAAAAATATTCATTTTAAATGTACCTGATTGATCGATAATAAAATTTATGAACACTCTTTTTTTAATATCCGAATACGAACTTCAATTTATTTTTGATTAAAAAATGAATTTTTTAATAAGGTCCTTTTCTTTTTAAAAAATATTCATTTTAAAGTATTAACACGTGAGCATATTTATAATATGTGAGATGGTGATTGAATAGTGAATTTCTCACTAAAATTATTTCCGTAGACATAAGATTTGTTGGATCTGAATTCTATTAACAATTGAATATATATATATATAGTCGTATCTATTTAAAATCTTTTTCAGTCATTGATAACGTGTACGTATCTTTTAAATATAGTTACTCGAACACAAGATCTTTAGAGAAAATAATATTCTCTTCAATGATTAAATTATCTTAATGAATTTTAACCATATAAATTTGAAATAACGTTGTAGTCAAGGTACGTAAAAATATAAATTTTACTCAAATATTATAAATTTGTTTTGTTATCTTTAATGTCAGCTATGATCTAATTTCTCTTAATAACATTATCTCTGAAATTTAAATTCTTTCTTTTCGAGTACAATGTGCCTTGACACTGCCACTTATACAAGTCTAAATTTTGAAATTGTTTACAACTAAATAATAATTTAAAGTATAAACAAGGTACGATCTAATTATATTAGAGTAAAACTAAATTAATTTTATATATTTTCATAAATTTTTATACCATCTATATTTTGGAAATTCAACTGTTATAATGTTATATTCTATTCACATAAATTACGCGTCTTAAAACTTTTAAATTCTTTTAATTATTCAATTGATAGTAAAACTTCAATTTGTATATTTACTAATAAATTTATTATTTTCGATAAATATAAGATTATTTTAAAATTTTATGTATATAAATAAATAAATAATTTAACAATCGAATTATTAAATTATTAATATATAAAAATGCGAAAATGTTTAAAATTTTATTTGTAAATGGTTATAAAATAAAGGGTGAACTATGTGTTTAACACTTAAACTATTACTATTATTCTATTCTGATATCTAAATTTTATTGTTTTTCAAAATCATATCTAACATTTAGTTTAAGTTTCAATTCGATATCCCGTCATTAATAAGTTAACAGAACTGTTAACATGATATATTTTTTTTTCAATGATGATTTTACATTACCTTATGGTGATACATCAATATCACCCTTAAGTTTTTAACGTTATGTATGATTTTGAAAACGATAAAGTTTAGGTACCGAAATGGAATAAAAATAATAGTTTAGATACTAAACTTATAATTTACCCTAAAATAAATGTAAGCAAGTGATGGGTCATAAGAAAACAGAGTCGGGGGCGGTCCCCGCCCTATGGGACCGAGCCAGTGGCTTAAGCCCCACGGCTCGTCCTTCCGGTTCCCCACACATCGCTTTCAGATTTTTCTATTTTCTTTTTAATTAATTATTTAATTATAAAGAGTTTTATTTATTATTGTGTTTATAATGGTACAATATTACAAGTTTTTCTTAAGCTATTCAGTGCTTCATAATCCTCATTGGGATTTATTCCTGTATTTGACTTCAAAAAGTTTTTATTTAATATATTATTTATACTTAATTAAAAATGATATATTGATTATATATTTTTTAATTAATATTATCAAAGTGTTAATACTTACCTTAATTTAGAGGTGCTTTTTTTTTAGTTTTTATGAGATGAATATGACAAGTAAAGATAAAAGGGTATATTAATCGGGATAGAATCTTATGACATAATATAAAATTTTTTTAGGTTTACATAAATTTAGAATCATTAGATGAGTGAGAATATATGACTGAAATTATCAGTATAAAACGAGAAGATATTCACCGATAAAAAAATAAAAGTATTCACATCAATCTATTTTGACTTATTTAACCGTCCAAAATCAGTGTAAAACTAAAATAAATGTACATTATGTAAATGCATCCTAAACATAACATAATATTAACATATAATAAACAACAATAAAAACATACAAAAAAAGTAAAGAAAAATAAGAAGAGAAAATAAAAATTATCTATCTCAGTCTTAGTGAGTTTTTGATGACCAGAGCGATCGCCCGTTAGTCTCAATGATGAGAATGACTTATTTGAGCAGAAGATTGACATAGTTCAACTTCAAATTGATCCAACAACTAGTAGTGATATATAAAAAAAATTAGCTTTTATTTTCGGATGAAATTTGAGGATATCGAAAAGTTTTTCCACAGGTTTGAACCGAATAAAATAAAGAGAAAAATAATATGGGTATTTAGTTTGATGATATTTTTGATAGAATAACCTACTAAATAGCGTTAGAAACGACACTGACATGAAGAGCTGTTGTTGGCCATTTAGAAGTAGACCTATTTCAGAACTTTAGAATTTTTTTAGGAATAAAATAAAAGATAGAATAAAGTTAAATGTCTCACGTCTATATTTCTTAATATCAATGATCATAATAAAAGCAAGTTGAATAGTTGAATAATTGTAATATAGATTTTGATTTTATTCTAACACAGCGTGAATTTATCAAGAGTTGTCTATACACTATAATTGATAAGAAACATATATCTAGAAAACATAACATAATTGAAGAATTTGATGAAAGAAAATTCTATTCGAAAATCTTGACTAGTGAAATGAACTCATTATTTAATAAATTCGAATTAATGTTGACGGAAATTTTTTAGTGATTATACTCCAAAATTATAACATATTTGATTTTATATCATAAATTGATCTTAATTTTTGATTTAGATACGATTTTAACAACATTACATATAATGCTACAATCATCATATCGAACCGTACCCAATAAACTTTCCTTCAATCTCAACGAACTGTACAGTTGGAGCTGTAAAATTTTAATAATTTAGTTCAAGACTGAGACCCCACCTTCGTCTTCCTGTCTCTAAATTTAGAAATTAAAAATAAAAAACATTTTAAAAAATTCGTTTCCCTGTTTATTATTAAACCAGACAATCCGAGCAACGTTGCTTTCCTTATACTTCAAATGGCTGACAACTTAATCTCTTTATGACAATTAACTCAGTTTTTGTTAGCTTGACCCGACCGCCATTGATGAAGCATAACAAAGCTTAAACCTTTTTTTGTGAAGCTGTTGAGACTTAAATTTGGCTTGGATTAACCAAGTGGGTGCTTCTTATTTTCAAGGAACTGAACTGGGTTTTTCTCAGAATTTCGGACTTGGGTCGCTTTGTTGTTCTTGTTCTTCATTTTGCCATGGAGTTAAACGCAGGGACGGCGGGAACCGGATCTCATGAAACGGCGTCGGAGAGGAAGGAAGTGGCGGCACTCGAATCGCTCCAATTTACCGACGAAATCCGCCGTTTGATGTTGGCTCCTGCGACCGACAATGCGAGTTCCTTCACGGCTCTGCTTGAACTTCCGGCTCCTCAAGCTGTTCAGCTTATTCACTCTCCGGACTCGGTTAAGCTTACCGCTGTTCATGCTCCGACTCCGAACGTTGATGATTTCAAAGGCAGCTTTCATTTTCCTTTTGATAGTGGATTAATCGAACGAGCGGCGAGGTTCTCCTTGTTTGCCGGAGATGGTAACATCAACGTCAATAACAAGAGCAATTCGCTTGAACCGACGTCGTACAATTCAACCGCGAATCTCCAGAAACCGGTGAAGAGTGAGCCGGCGGAGACCGAGTCATATCAAGCGTTAGTTTCTGATCCAACGGTGGAGAACCGGAGTATCAAGAGAAAAGACCGAGAGAAGGTGAAAATTCTGATATGCCTTTTTGGGTGTTTCCATTTTTGGTAAATTCTGATCAAATCAGCTGATGAATTTGTTTTTTGAGCTTTTCAGGTGAAAGGGTCGACAAAGAAAAACAAAACTGCGGCGAAGGACAGCTCCGACGATGCTGAGAAGCTGCCGTATGTTCACGTTAGAGCTCGCCGGGGACAAGCCACAGATAGCCATAGCTTAGCTGAGAGAGTAATTCACTAATTTCAATGACCGAGTCCTTAATCAGTTTGCTTATTACTATTAGTTAATTTGTCTTTATCATGCTAATAATCTTTGTTTTTAGGCTAGGAGAGAGAAGATTAATGCACGTATGAAGCTCCTACAGGAGTTGGTACCAGGATGCAGTAAGGTCAGTTCAATCGAATTATTAGGTTGATTAATGATTTGATTATGATTATGACTATGATTATATGATTACATTAAGAATATCTGTCTAAATATGGTACAAAAAGGGTGTGATTACTTCTTTATATTATATTGGTTTTTATACATTTTCACCTTTTGCACAAAAGTGGTTCACTTTTTGCACCAACAAAAAAGTTGAGCTGGTGTGCCATGGCACTTTGATAATTTTAATGTTTCATCCCTTCTTCCTTTGTTGGGTGAGTTGTTAGGAGTCCTTTTCGAGGTTAGCGTCGCCTTTTTCCTATCAAACGCTTGATTTTAGTCCCTGTTTGAAGGGGAGGTAAATGGAAGGATGCTGGATCTTGTAGTTTTAATCTAATCTTTGGAATTGATGTTTTGGATGTTGAATTATCTGTGAAGAGGATAGGTACCGGTACAATGACGATTCTAGCCTTTGACGACAACGTAAGGAAATTTTTAGTCATATGGAATGCTAGCTGGACATTACCAGGAAATGCTCTTTGAACTTGTTAGATCAGATGTCTTTATGGGGTCCCATTTCATTGATGTAGAATAGTTGCCAACTTCTTTTGCAAGTTAGGCATCCATACTCTTATGGGATAACAATATAAAAGATCAGAAAAGAAAATGCCTTTTATATGCCAAATGACTGCCTAACTATATGTGGACATGATGTGATAGTGCATGGGATATTAGTTTAATTGTTCAAAACTTAATCTTGATTACGCCTTAATAGTTCAGAAGATGTTTTCGACAATTGAAAAGGGGGATACAAGTCGTTTTAGTTGAGATGATTCAGAATAAATTAGATGACCAAACCAGTAGATAATCTTTCTTTTATAGGACCACATGTCGTGATCTCCTCATAATTTTGAAAGAACTGGAGATGCCTAACTTTTGAAAAGAATATTGTTCGTATTAACAACTTACTGTCTTTCCCTCGTGAGACTGGAAATCTAGTACTTCTGGATAGGTTTATGTTTCTGTTTCGAGGAAATCACTTTGGAACTTATTTATCTACGTGCTGTGATATGTGGCTATCGTGTAAGTTTCAAGTTTTAACTTTTCAGTCAGATTCTATGTGGTTGCTTCGTACCGGCAACTTATTGTGGATGTTTTCTTGTATGTTACGAAATATGTTTCATACGGTGCCGGTATTACTAACTTTGGTAACTATGCTTTTGTGCTCAATGGTATTAGGTTCGAGAAGTTGACTGCTCTGGAATCTTGTAGTTTGAATTTCCTTATAGAATCATTGAATTCAAATATATTGAGACCCTTTTCTGATTTGTGGAATACCATGTGCTGCAGATTTCAGGCACAGCGTTAGTGCTGGATGAAATCATCAATCATGTGCAGTCCCTACAGCGTCAAGTGGAGGTGAGATATTTGTCTCGAATACCGTTCGGTTTGAACTTGTATAAAGTTTATGAATTGATGATTTGTTCTTAAGCACTGCAAGTGAATGTCCCCTATTTAAACTACCCGGAATTTGTAGGAGTCTTGTTATGACCTTACCAATTCTTTATCATGCATGTTCGTTGTACGCTTTATGCTTTGGTTTAGATGCAGTATCTTCCATCCCCTTGGTCTGAATCTAGTTATCATGTTTTGTCGATTGCAGTTCTTATCAATGAGACTCGCCGCAGTTAACCCTAGAATTGATGTCAACCTCGATAGTATATTCACAGCAGATGTAAGTATCAGGCACCTTCTGTCATATGTTTCTAGTCTAAAGTTGGAAACTGAAAGCTCCTTCCACAAATCTCCCGGTTCATGCGATAAATAGCTCGGCAAAGCTTTGGTTCTTTAACTCTTCATGTTGCTCGACAAATAGCTAATAGCTCTACATGATGACCTATTTACATGGTTGTACATCGAGTTTCTCCTGTTAGGGAAAGACAATAATTTTTGGTTTTGATTATTTGAAGACTTGAGCTAACATGCTTGATCATCTTGTAATATATGTAGAGTGGATCTTTAATGAACAGTAACTTCTCCGGGATGGTCATGCCTATGATGTGGCCCGAGGTTCAACTCAACGGAAACAGACAACAATATCCGCAGCAATCGCAGTTTGGTGCATTTCAACAGCCTGTTTGGGGGAGAGAAGAAGTCTGCAATAATTACATGACTCCAGAGAACTCGCTTTTAAGCTATGACTCCTCGGGAAATTCAGGTAGAAACGAAATGAGTTTATTTGCCTTGTAAATGATCATCATGCATAAACATTTTGAATCTTTGCTGCTAAATTTCGCATTTCAACCGAAACAAGAATAGTAATACTTGATCAATTCCACTCTACATTCGTCTTGAAGTCCTATCAGACTAACTTTATATCGCGATCTTGTCGCAGCATCGTTGCACTCGAATCAATTGAAAATGGAGCTATGAAGTCCAAAAGAAGATAGCAAACTGTTAGATTTATGAAAAAAATATTATTCTAGTGATGACTACTACTTGTACATGTATATATTATATCGAATATTAGAAATTAGTAGAAGGTAGAGAGGTCTCTCCATATATCTTCTGGTTTTTATGTGGTTTATTTAGCCGAGTCAGATGGAAACATCCGATTTCGCAGGACCGGAGACGAGAAACGTCTGTATGCTGTTATTAAATATATATATTATACTAACTTCGAGTCATTCAATCGAATGCTTGGTTTGAGGTTGATTGATTCATATTGTAAAATCATAGAACGAACTATGATGATTCAAACTATTATGGAAATCTGCCTTCTTTTGTTCTATATTATGCTGTCTTCTTTTATTGATAGTTCATAGAGGAATGACATTTTGTCATCCACTTTTTCTTCTGCTATCCAAGTTGATATGTGGTTTGATTCCATACGAGGTTATGATTCTCGGGTCGGATTATTTATTCGAGACTGAGATCTGTTCGATATTTAGGAGAGTTTGGATAAAGATATCAAGTCTAAAATATGGTCATGGAAAGAAAATGAAACTTGTTTAAGAGATGGATTGACCTTGCTTTAAACGTTTGAGTTCGAGTTAGTGACACGAGTTAATTGAGTATTAATCAAATTGAAAAATAATTGTAAAACAATTATATTTTTATATAAAAGGTTTTCTTATCATAACACCATTAAATAATTTAAAATGTCCTATCATAACACCATTAAATAATTACCAATGAAGTGACCAAAACAAAAATAATTTAAAATTTAATAATAAAATAGTGATTTTTTAAAATTAGGTGATCAAAACAGGATTTGAGTAAAGGTGAGTGATGGAAAGTGCAATTTACCCTTACGTCTTATTTTCTCACTACGGAATGCGTGGCTAACCTACAAAGGGCTCAAACTGTAAACGATGCCGTATTTAGAGCAATTACTACCTCTAAGTCTGTAAATGAACCGAACGCACACGAACGGAGGTATGTTCATGTTCGTTCATTTAATAAATAAACGAACACAAACATAAACGAACAATTTTTTTTTTGTTCATGTTCGTTTATTAAGGAATATAACTTGTTAATGTTCGTTCATTTAATAAATAAACGAAAATAAATGAACACGAACATAAATGAACATAAACGTTGGAGACTTACCTTCCATTATTCTTTCATGAAAAATAGTCGACAATGCAAATCAGCCAAATCTACAGTGATAAATAGCGTAAGAGTTGATTAACAGTTATGAAATGTTTGAAGATATTAAACATTTCAATCGATTTTTAAAGATATTAAATGATTCACACGACTTTAATTTAATGTTATAACATTTATCTTAGTGGTCCATGATTACATATGAACAATCATTTTTCACTACGTTATTCTAATAAATTCGATGGCTAAAAGTTTTGTGACATTAATGTCAGACTTTAGTCAGGTTTGTTAATAATGGTTCTTTCCGTTGACATAATAAAAAATTTAACAACATGAAGATTTCGAACGGTACAAATTGAACTACAAGACAATAATATAGATCTAAAATCTCTTCCATGCTACATATCGTAACTGATATTATTGCTAAATCACTATTCAAAATTTTAACGTACCAAAAGTCTACTCCACAACTAAAGGTCACACAAGAAGTATGAAAACAAAAGTTCATTGTCAAAGTATATTTTATACTTATTAATGGGTTCTTCCTGAAAAACTCATTACTTCCGCTATTACACTCTTTTTCAAAAATTGTATAGAAACATTTGTTTTATTTTCTGACAAATTCTATATATTTTTTCTCTTTACTGATGCTCATATACTTTCGATTGTTACCTTTATCTTCACATCTATTTCTAGAAAGAAATATGATGTTTTCTTGAGTTTTAGATGTGAAGATACCGACAATAACTTTATATATTAACTATTAAGCTAAATAAAACAGAGAAAGAGATGAAAACAGACATGTAAAACTTTAGATTGCACTATAATATAACTTGTTTTTTAAGCTTTCAGCGATCGTCTCCACTCTCTAATGAACACTAGGGTTTGAGAAAAAAAGGAAAAATGAATATAGGTGCGAGGTGTCTTACGTGTTAACATATTTGATTTAATCTCTAAATAAAATTGAGTTAATTATAGAGTTAGACATCAAAATATCAGATTAATTAATATTTTTAAAATACTTACAAATTGGTTACCAAAATTGATTTAAGAAGATTGGGTTAAATATAAATGAATGAACATAACCGAACGAACATAAATGAACATAACTGAACGAACATAACCAAACGTTCACGAATGTAAATGAACGAACGAGATCTATGTTCATGTTCGTTCATTTAATTAAACGAACACAAAATTTTATTTATATTATTTCATTTAATAAATAAACGCACGTAACATTATTAACATTATTTAAGTAAGCAAACAACTGACCAAATAAAACCAAAAACACTTCGGAGCCCTCAAATTTCCCCCTTCATCTTTCAAGCTAAGCAACCACCGCCGCGATGGCCCTGACTAATATGCTTCGCCGCCTAATCTTCTCCCGGGCCTTCTCTTCCCACGACGGTCCAAGCCGATGGACGACGCCCGGTCACCAGGAGCGTCCCAATGGTTACCTCTTCAACAGGATCCCACCACCTCCGGGCCAATCCCGTAAATGGGAAGATTGGGAGCTGCCTTGCTACGTCACAAGTTTCCTCACCATCGTCATCCTTGGTGTTGGACTGAACGCCAAGCCTGATCTCACTATCGAGACTTGGGCTCATCAAAAAGCCCTCGAAAAACTCGCCGCCGAGTCGTCCTCTTCTTCGACTGACTGAGATAATTTGAGGGCGAACTTCAATCGAGATCTGTTGGGTACGGATCTTTGCGAACTCTTCGTTTTCTGTTGATAGGATGTGTAGTTCTAATAAAAAATCTAGCCTTTTTTTAAGATTGAACGGTTTGTAGTTGCTGAAATTTCATGATCTTTTAATTGGATTTACGTTTTTGATGATGATGAAGTCATTGCCTTATTTGGGATCACGACCTAATAATTTATATTCGAGTTTCCATGGTTGTTCAAAAGAATTCAATAATAAAATTGGGGTTATTGGCCTCGTATTGATATCTTAGAAAAATTGTGCTGTAGTTCAAATGAAATTGGGTTTTTCTTCAAACAGTTGAAGGTTTTGTAGTTGTTCAATTCGATTTACCCTTTCGATGATCATGAAGCCATTCACCTTATTTGGCATCAAATGTAACATTGAATTGTGAGTTTCTATGGATGCTCAGAAGAATATGAAAATAAATTGGGTTCATAAATGGCCAATGCCTTAATGGTATCTTTAGGAATGTGGAATATCTTAGAAAACTTGCATATAGTTAGTTTAGTGCCTAAATTGCTGATCCTTTTGGTAGGTTCGAGAAAATAGGAGTACTTTTAGGGGGTCTTAGGAAAAAATTTACCTGCAGTTTAATAGAGGTAGCCAATCGAGAAAATGCTTGTGCAGAGTCCATAAAGATTCCGGATGGTAGCCGCATAGCCGGTACAGAAGGATAGTATTAGTTAAAAATGGAATGGTTTATGTTATTGTTACATGCAAAGGGCTATGCATCAGTGCTGAACATTTAATAGTTGGTATGAAGCTTGCAATTCAGGTGCAGAATGAAGGACTAATGGATTATTGGTCGATAAGCTTGTTATCAAGGATTCGAGTGTTAGGGATATTCTATGTAGCTTTGTCTCTTCAATTTTTCTTCTTCTTGAAACACTTGTGTTCGAAACATATGTCATCTTCTTGACTAAAACATTTTCCATTAACCATCTGGCTTTAAAGTGTGTATCATTATCTGTCATTTGGTAGTCAATACCGTGGTTTCAAGTCTGTTTCAGAGCAAAAGTTTAATTTTCTTGGCGGAATTCTGATTGATGATATTGTAGCAGAGAGGGACGCAGAATTGTTGTATTTTAATACAATTGAACTAGGATGTATTGGAATTTTATAAAAGAAACCTTGCCAACTTATGTTGCATGTTCTTGGTTAAACCATTTTTATTTGCCTACTGATTTAGAAAACCATAAACTTTAGTAGCATTGCAAGTCTGTTTGGTTGCATTGGGGAGGAACATAATCTTTTATAAGGGTTTGGTTCGATGATCCGGCATCCAATACCCTCCCTTGTCTAGCTATATGTTGGATATGGGCATCGGATACATATACTTGAAAATAATGAAGGTTCAGGGCAACATAAAAATGGATCATGTCCCACAGTCACGGTTCATCTTTCTTTTTTCACCCATCAAATGAGAAAAAAAAATGGACTTACACTCATCCAAGCAATAATAGTTATGCTTTAACACCATGGTGCTAAGGTTGATCCGCCCTTAGACTCATCCAATTGAATAGTGTTGATATGATCTTTATCCGAATCCGAATTTGTCATGTCATTATTTTGATAGACACGGGTTGATTAAAAAAAAAGAACATCTCAATTGTAAATGATGGAAATTTATTGGATGGTAATCAGCTTTTCATATAAAGAGAAGGCGTAATTTTTGACATTCGAGACCAAAGGACACTGCTTTGCTTTAATAATGGAGTCTAAAAGGAGGACTTGGCTTGCACCATTGAAAGCTTCTATGTCGTCTTCTGAGGCCAAAGGGCCTACTTTGCTGTAGAAAGTTGCCGGTAGAAAGTTGCCGGTGGGAGAAACACCACACGTCCCGTAGGTGGTGGAATTTCAAAGATGACCTTGACGACCTCAAAAGCATCGTCTCTGCAATCAATGCTGTGCTTCTTGACGCAGAAGAACGATCCGTGATCAGCAATCTCGTCAAAGAATGGCTTGGAAAGCTGAAATATGCTCTATATGATGCTGATGACTTGCTGGATGATTTTTCTACCGAAGCTTTACGAAAGCATCTGATGAATAGGAATGAACTTACTAAAGTGGTACGTGTTTTCTTCTCAAGCTCAAACCAGTTTGCTTACGGTCTCAAAATGGAACGTAAAATCAAGGCCAGATTTGCTTCCATTCAAAGTCAGACCAATGGGTTAAAATTGGTACAGCGTGACCATCCTGCGGTGGCCGAAAGGAGGCAGCAGACGCACTCTTTTGTGTTTAAAGATGAGATAATAGGGAGGGAAGATGATAAAAAAGCTCTTCTAAAACTCTTGCTAGACATAGAGTTTCAAAGCGAAGAGAATGTTATTATCGTTCCAATTGTGGGGATTGGAGGCTTAGGCAAGACTGCGTTGGCGCAGTTTGTCTTTAATCATGAAAGGGTCAAAGATCTCTTCGATTTGAGGATGTGGGTTTTCATTTCTGATGTTTTTGATTTGAGAACAATAGTAGCAAACATTATCAAATCTGTGACTAATCAAGCACCTGATCAAAATCTCGAAATAGACCAATTGCAAAAACTTGGGGATGAAATTGATGGAAGAAATATTTACTTGTTTTAGATGATACTTGGAATGAGGAGAGGGAAAAATGGTTTAACCTGAAGAAGTTACTGATGGGTGGGGCTAGAGGAAGTAATATAATAGTAACTACCCGCTCTCATAATGTAGCAAAGATCACTAGTAAGTGTCAATCCTATATTTTCGAAGGCTTGTCTGATGATGATGCTTGGTCTTTGTTCAAAGAAATAGCTTTTGAGCAAAGATCTGCAGATTCAACAAATCCAACCTTTTTGGAAACAGGAAAGCAGATTTTGGAAAGGTGTTGTGGAGTTCCCTTAGTCATAGTGACTACAGCTAGTACATTATCTATTAAAGAGACAAAAAATGAGTGGCGTTCTTTCAAAGATAATAAATAAACTTGCTAGTATATCCCAAAAAGATGGTGAAATTATGCCTACACTTGAGTTATGACCATCTCCCGTCCCATTTGAAGCATTGCTTTGCTTATTGCAGACTGTACCCAAAAGATCATAGAATCAAAGTACAATCGCTTGTTCAACTTTGGATTGCACCAGATTTTGTAAAGAAATCAAATCCGTGCCAATCTCTTGAAGAGGTTGGGTTGGAGTATTTTAAAGACTTGATGGAAAGAAATTTCTTTCAAGAGGCAGAAGGAGATGAATGGGGAATGACATGTAAAATGCATGATTTAATGCATGATCTTGCTGAATTAGTATCAGGGAGAGAGTAGTATTTTAGATTCAAATTCAAGTATAGGAGAGGTTGATGAAAATTGTCATCACATATCAGTTAAGCCTTCACTAATTCCTTCATTTAAGGGAAAGAGGTTGCGAACTTTGTTAAACTTTCCTAACCATAGAGGTCGATATATGAAAGAGGGAACTTGGGATTTTATAATTTCTAATTGTAGGTGCTTGCGTGTGTTGGAATTTCATCATTTAAATTTTGATACAGTTCCATGCTCCATTCATAAGTTGAAACATTTGAGGTACTTTGATCTCTCTTGGGAGTGATCTTAAGATCCTCCCAGATAGTATTTGCGAGATGCAAAATTTGCAAGTGCTGAAACTTGACAATTGTTTACGGCTTGAAGAATTGCCAAAGATTGAAAAATTAGTGAATCTTAGCCATCTTGCGTGTGCTGGTTGTCGGAGCTTAAGTCATATGTCAATTGGAATAGGGACGCTGACTTCGCTTCAGACGTTAAGCCTGTTTGTGGTAGATAAACTTGGTTCCCATGGTGCCGCTGCTGCAGAACTAAGTGAATTGGGTGGGCTTCACAACTTAAGGGGAGAGCTAAGAATAATAAATTTGGGATTTGTGAAAAATGCAAAAGAGGAGTTCAGGGCTGCTAATTTGAAAGAGAAACATTATTTGCACTCGTTGGTTTTACATTGGGGCGCCACTACAGATGATGAAGAGAAGTCACTTGAAGACCTCCAGCCCCATCCTAATCTGAGGGCAGTACCAAGATTCCAAGCTGGCTTTCTTTGCTCACAAATCTCACTAATATTGAAATACGAGATTGTCATAAATTGAAACATCTACCTTCCTTTTCTCAATTGCCTCATCTTCAACGGCTGTGGATTGAGTCCTTAATCGAGCTAGAGTACATGGACGATAGTGACCCAAATGGAAGATGAGGAGAATCAGAATCATTCTTCCCATCGCTTATGTATCTTAGTCTCAAGAAATGCCCAGATATGAAGAGTTGGTGGAGAGAAAGGCCGATTGATGATCATAACAATGATGACAGAACAGTAATAGGAACATCAAACAGGGCATTTCCTCGTCTTTCTAGTTTACACATTGAAGATTGCCCTTTGACTTCATTGCCGCTGTATCCATCACTCGATGAGGACCTAACCTTGATCAACACCAGTTCAAGGCATTTGAAGCAGACCATTCAGATGAACATCACTAGTATGACTCCATCAACCTCTTCTCTTCCTCTCTCCAAATTGAAATGCTTACGTTTGAAGAATGTTAAGGAACTGGACCAAAAGCACAATAGATGAGTGCCGTTCGGAGAATCTATTTGCCAACATTCCACAGCTGGCGTCTCTTCCCCTTTGGCTTCAACATCATGTTCAGTTGAAAACACTGGAAATTGCGAATTGCAGTGGACTGAGGTCACCCTTTCCTGTGTTCCAACATCTCACCTCCCTTGAAACGCTTAAAATAACAAACTGCAGATGGAATCCAAACATTCCAAGACTATACATACCTAAGTGTTCTGTATCTACAAAATATTCCAACTTGTCGGAATCTTCCAAAGTTGCTTCAACATCTAACAAACTGAGAGATCTCCATCTCAATGATTTTCCCAACTTAACATCGCTTCCGGACGAGATGCGTTGCCTAACCACTTTGCAAACGTTAAAGTTGGAACGAATTCCGGAGATGGAGATGAGATGTCATAAGGGCGGGGTCGCTGAGTTAATTAAGTTCTCAATTTCTCTGTCGAAACTCGCCGCGATTTCTTGAACGAGTTCGCACGATCTTTCATCAGTTGCAAATCCGCATCGGCCGAGTCGCGTAACTCTCTCCACCCTTTCGAAATGAACGAGAAAGCCCTCGAACTCGACGACGGCACTCCCATCACCG